CGGAGCTATGACGTCACAAGAGGAACAGCGTCCGGTACTATTTTTGAAAAGCGCCCGAACCACTATTTTGCTAATTCTTGTCACCTCAATGGGAATATGCAGCAATATTAGCTTCTATAGGGAGCAAATGGACATCCCAAATCCAAAAATACAATCAGATTTCAAAAATTTAAATTTTGATTTTTCGAATTTCTGCCGCCGACTGTGACCTTGCCGACTTCCGGCGCTCCCAACGCGCCATTTTTAGAGCTAGGGAAACGAAATACATACCAAACGATAGAGAATTGATCAAGGAACACGATAGTGAAGGTTTCAAGTCGATATCTCCCACCGTTTTGCCGCAATCGCCGCGGAAAATTTGAAAAAGTCTATTTTTCCGAAAATTTGACCTTTGACCGGTCAAAAGTAGGTCAAATGTTGACCTAGGACCAAAAAATATACCACCAATCGCGAGATCTCGTTGAGAGCAATCCGTTGGTTTTTTCCGCTAAGCTCTACGACGCTCCGTTTTCAAACGCCAAGGGGGGGGTCGCACCAACCCCCCCCCTGCATGGGCGAAGGTGGCAGATCGCCGTTTACGGGCGAGGGTTAACTTGAAAGTTAGCACTAATTTATCTTGCTGTTGTAAGTTATCATTCAATATCCATACCAATACATCAATATGCGCTCACCAGTCAACATTTTCTGGCATGATCCTGCTCAGCGTGCTCTTCAGTAGGTATTGCTCCAAGGTCTGCAATATTATAGCTTGTTTTTGGCCAATAAGCTCTTTTAATTTTACTTTTTCTTGCTGATATATGAGCCCGATCACCTTGCGTTTATCAACCAAAATTTCATAACTTGTTCAACTTGATATTGATATTGCTCAGGAGTCAGGACCTCTGTCAGCCTCCTGGATACTTCGGATTGTTTTCAGTCAACATGCTTCTTAAATATGATATAAGTCAATATTCAAAACATCCAACAAAACGACGTACAAGAGTAAGAAAACCACCAGATAAACTAAAAAATGGCCTTGGAACAGAGCCAAGTGGTGCTCCATTTGTTTATTTACAATGATTGTAGTGCTGATGTATTTTTAGGACTCTGAACGTCGGCTTATAAAAAATGAAACGTTTTTACAAAAGTTGTAAGGCAAGTAATATTTATCTGAAAGAACTAAAATATTCAAAAGCCAAACACTATGAAATACATGAATCGGAACGAAAAAGTAACCCAAAAATCCAGCCTAATCACCGGCTCCTAAAACTGCAACAAAATCAGCACTTTTCCCCGCAACTCGTTGTCCAGACGTAAATATGCGTCCCTGTAAGGAGTTATTGGCAAAAAAACCTTCGGTGACCTTTGATGACGTCACATGACCTTACAGCTGGCCAACAGCAAAACAGGCCTCAAGGTAGTGAAGGTTGATGGTATGTGAAGTCGTCTATGGTATATGGGGCCATTCTGACGCGTTTTAGTGGTAAAAACAGGGAATTGATTTCCCCCCATTAACTTATAATAAGGAGGTCGAGAAATTGATCTGACCTTAGGTCATCGATATCAAAATTCCGAATATACAAATTGTAGCTACTAATGACGTAATAACATCCTGTGACTTTGAAAGGCCTCCGTCATCTATTGTTGCTCTGACACGGTGACAAAGTTGCAAAAAAGTGACTTGAGGTTGGGTCATTCGAAGTGACCTGGTGACCTGACCTTAAAAGTTAGGAGGTTCAAACTTGCACACCATATGTAAAATTGATGAGAGAATAGTCATACCAAATTTCGCGGCGCTACGCGCCGCGGTTTTCCCGTTACTCACGAAAAATCTCATAGGGGCGGATAACCGCCCCCCGTCGGTGTGCGGGTTAAGTTGGGTTCATGTGCTGACCCCTGGTGACCTGACCTGTGACCTGACCTGGTATTATCAGTGATCTGTACTAGCAGCATATGTACTGGACAACTGGCGCCCTATCGCTGATTTTCGACAAAATGCGTTGTACTCGTGAAAAAAACGTTTTTTTTTTCAGGGAAAATGCTTTTATTGCGTTAAAATGCAAAAAAATAAGGGAATATTATAGCGCATTCCCTGGAAGACCCGTGAACGGTTATGCATTTTATCTTTGACCTGACTTGTGACGTCATCGGTGACCCCGAAGTCAATGAATTTGGCTTCCCTCGACAAATTTGACAGAGCTATCGAACGCCCTTTGCCTTCTTACGATGCTGTCTCTTGAATTTTCAACTTGGAAATATTTTTTTTTTATACCAATGTGATCCCTTTTAAATTGCCTTTTATTTCAACTGCGTTTCATTTCCAAAGGCGTTCACATCTGGGAGATATTGACCAAACTTTGAACCTATGCATATTGGCCGCTTTGCCCCATACCCTGGGGCAAAGCGGCCACCGGCGACTTCTCAAGTCCCGATATGAGAAACAGATTGGTTGCCTCATGTACGACTAGGGTATTTAATGGTGACAAGGTTCATCCCACCTGTAGGTAAACAAAGAAAGGATTTTCATGGAAAACATTTAATTGCATTATTTGGTAACTCATGTAACCGGAAAGTGGCCAAGACGAATGCATGACGACATATTTGAACATAAGTCATGTTTTTATCCAGATGAATACAACTTATGGCCAATTGGGTGCTGGCCACTTTGCCCCGGCCACTTTGCCCCGCGCATACCGTCCGAGGCAAAAATATTCCAGCTCAGCTATAAGTGGGGTAAAAAGCATTAAAACTGGTGGAAGACATGTACGATAACCACGCAATGCATGCACAAGAACGCTTATAAAAATTCCAAAGGTTTTGTAATGAAATAACATTTAAAAATTGTTAACATAGTTGGTAACCTGGCAAGAAATGCTTTTCCGTGTTTCACTAAACCAGTAAAACGCCTTTTGGGCGAAGAACGAGCGAGCGAGATAGTGAGCCCTGCACGTGCGGAAGGGCGAGAGGGTACTTTCAGCGGGCTTGTGCAAAGCACCCTTCTAACCGGTCGCTAGCGGTGTGCCAAATTTGAACGCAATCGGCCCAGCCGTTCCTGAGATCTGGAAGCGGCATTCTGCACGTGCGCACGTGCAAACGGGGTCCAAAATGACTTTTGCACGGCACCCTACTAACCGGTCCCCAACCGTGTACCAAATTTGAGCGCAATCGGCCCAGCCGTTCTCGAGATCTGGAAACGCCCCTTGCACGTGCGCACGTGCAGTAGCACCCTAACCGCAACACATGGGAATGCATTGCCTGGTGGGTGCCTACCTGTATGCCAAGTTTCAGCGAAATCGCCCCAGTAATTACCGAGTTACTGAAATGGGAACAAATTTGGCACCTCTTCTTTTTGTATTTTGCACTCAGATAGATCAAGAGTATCCGACCTTTGGTAGAAGGGATGCAGCTACCCTATAAAAATTACCGCAAGACAATCGCTCAAGCCGCTGCTGAGATATGGGCCTCTCAAAATCATTACTTGTGCAAAACTGCTTGAACACCCTTGACTTTTCACTTGGCACGTACCACGACGGTCACTGAGATGTATCAAAAGTAGTCAATTACGGGGTAGAAGAGATGGGGCTACCCAGCAAAAAAGACCGCAGGCCAATCCGTCCTGCGGTTGCTGAGATATAAGCCTCTCAAAAGCGTTACAGGCCGGGCCGGCCGGGCCGGGCCGGGCCGCTCATACTGAGATTTTTCCGTTATATTGAAAAGACTTCGCTTCGCTCGCTGCGCTCGCTCGCTCGTAACAATGGCGATGGGCCTGAAACCCCGGTCTGGCCCATTCGAACGACCGCGAAGAGAAACATAATTGGAAACCATGAATTGAAACTGACGCCAGCTGTGGAGGGCTAAAACGATGGGTGGCCGCTTTGCCCCTCTCTCCCCTATGTACAAAATGTATATCTCGGATTTTTGTTATCTGTCAATTTTGCGACCTCTCCATTATAAGTCAATGGGAGAAAATTGAACTGTGCCTCTTTTAGAGGAATGTCGTTCAAAACCCTCTCAAGCATCGGTTCATGGTTTAACATGACACACTAAATCGAAAAAATGCACCTGTGACCCCTCTGTGTGCCCCTGAGGTCATCTCAGGTCATGAACGGTCACCGGCAGTTCTTTGGCTGTAACTTTTGATTGAGACGTACTAGAGTGGTGAAAACACGTCAGATGTGTTCAGCTCGGCGATACGGATCGACTGATATGCAACATGATCCTTTCCGTTCATGTCATGTCATTGACGTGGGGTCGAATTTTCAAAATGACCTTTCAAGGTCAATTAATAGCTCATTCGATACGTCTTGACGAAAGGAACACGATGTCGGTAAAAGTAAGCTCCTCGGGCAAGGTTAGAGTCAAAAGTTATCTGTTAGAAACACTGTTTGCGAAAAAAACGTGTATTTTGGCAGTTTTTGCCCCCTGTAGAGAAAACTGTTGACCGTATGTCAAATCTTCAGAGAATTATCCAGAAAGAGCGGAAAAACTATCAAATATCCTTTTCCGGTTGCTCTAGCTCTATTGGTGTCTGAGTTATGCGCCGGTTTGTTGAAAGTGTCGACATTCGAGCTGAAAATCTGTGAAATTGGGTCTTTGATGACCTCTGGTGACCTGACCTTTGACCTGACCAAAAAGTGAGCGATGTAATTTCGGCATTATTTTTGACGCGGGTTAAGGGCGAAACGGCAAGGGGATATACCCCCATTCCCCGGGCTGGGTGTGAGAACCAATAGCAATAGGTTCGGGGAGGGTTAATTCATGAGATATTTCTGTTCCGCGTAATTGTCATTTTAACGCGCGCAGACCAATTTACGTGAGTCGAAAGTTGTCTACTTTTCGCAAATCGGAAAAATCTGTTGCAGAGACAGTTTCGCTATATCATGTAAGCCGGTTAATTGTCGGTAGTGAGGTGGGTGAATGCGGCTGTTTGAGTCTCTCAGAGTGTGTTGTTGTGTTGTGTTGTGTGTGTCAGGTGTGTCAGCTGAGTCTCTCAGAGTGTGCTGTTGTGTTGTGTGTGTCAGGTATCTCAGCTGCGCGCCTCCGAGGCGCCTCTGGCCGGAGAGCCCGCTCCGCTGCCCCAGCCGGCCGCCAGTCAGGTGAGCAGCGCCCTCCCCCGGCCCACATCACCAACTGTGCTGACTGGGCGGCCACCCACACTAATCTAGGCACTGATTGGTGACTTTTGTCGAGGCATGACGCTATTAGGATGACGTCACTCGTGTACTTAGCCGGACCATTGCAACGGTGCAGCGCCGGCGCGCCGAGCCAATCTATGTAGAGCCTCTCAAACTTAATTGCACAGATCCTGGGCTTTGAACCTGACGAAACATCGGTGAATTCGCTCTACTTTTGGAGACCCTGTCGGAGAACTGGATACGGGCCCTCTTCAGGTCCGTGCAGCCTAAATATGTGCTGTGTGCGTCATACTTGGATGACGTCAGCCGCCTGGCTCCGCCCACTCTCCGCCGGCACGCCGGGGCCGAGGGCCGCTGCAGCCATGCACGACAAACCAGACTGTGACTTTGGTAAAAGGGTTGGCATTTCCCTACGGTATCTGTTGGTATTTGGTTTGGTATCGGTATCACAACTTTCTGTAATTGACATCACTAGTCGGGGTCACCACGATAGTCACCAAGATAGATCGACCAAAGCCGTACACCCTCATATTTTATTTTTTGCTTAAAATTGGTCTAATGGGTTGTTATGGGCGGGGAAGCCAGCTGTGCCAAGGATTTTTTTCTTCGAACAACGGTTTCCGAGATATAGCCTCAGGCAATTCCTGGAGGTCACGCTGCAACCCTATGTTTGACGGCTTATAACTCAGAAACTATTGGTTTTCTATGGTAAAAACTTGATATGGTTCAACTCACAATCAACCAGCAAACGTTTTGGCTATCTCGGATTTTCGATTTTTGAAAATTTTGATCACGTGACATCTTGACCTTGTTTTACGAAGAGTGACCTTGATATTTTCCCAACTGAAAGTCGCAATTTTGTCTGATGACGATTAAAGCCTTATCAATTGTCATTGATATGCAACAATAAAAAAGTGGCTTTCGGCCTGCATTGACCTGAGATCAGTCATTTTTTTACCTGTCCTTTATAAGTCAATGGCAGAAATATCGGCTACCACCGAAACGCATCTGACCGGTTCAAATATTTTTGAATCATGTTGAGTTAGGCAATTATTGATGGCATCGGTGCAGCTTTGTATCAGTGACCCGCTGAAAGGTCATCCGAGATCACGCTTTAAACACACAATACTTTTCCGTTTTTGGCTGTACCTTTTGATCTAATAAAGAAAGAGACGTAGAAGAGGCACCAATCCGTTTGCTTTCGCCTAGCGCCAGTTCGTTTTGAATTTCGATGCCGATGACCTGAGGTCAGGTCAATTTCTTGACCACCCCCCATTATAAGTCAATTGGTCAATTCAGCTCCCTTATTTTTACACTAAAACGCGTCGGAATTGCCTAATATACCATGAGTGACTCCATATGCGACTAACTTTGACTACCTTGAGACCTTTTTTGCTCTTGGTCAACTGTAATGTTGCTCTTGGGTCATGTGACGTCATTAAAGGTCACCAAATGTTTTTTGCTGACAACTCCTTACAGGTTTGAGATACAGCCGCGCGGATAGGCTCATTGTGTTCAGCTCGTCAAGGCCCATCGAATGATATAGATGATGACCTTAAGGTCACGTGACCTAAGGTCAACTTTTGACCTTGATCTTTCGAGGTCAACATACACATGTTTCGATGCGGATCGACGAGAGGATCACGATGGTGCTATTAGTTTGTTCCTAGCTGGGATACTTCGAAAGTTATTCGAGAAAAACTTCGTATATATGTAGTGCCGCCATTTAGACTTTCTTTTTACCCCTGTGACGTCATCTTTCACCTGACTTGAAAATGACCTGAGTAAAAATTGTAGACCTTATCCATGTGTACCCTGTGCCGTTTACCGCTTGTCGCTATCTTGCTTTGTTCTCGAGATCTCACTGTCGCTCCCGCTCGTAATAATGGGAAGGTCATAAAAATGACCTGACCTGAGGTCAACGCAGGCCGAAAGTCACTTTGTCATTATCGCATATGAATGACAATTGATAAGGCTTTAATCGTCATCAGACAAAATTGCGACTTTCAGTTGGGAAAATATAAAGGTCACTCTTCGTAAAACAAGGTCAAGATGTCACGTGATCAAAATTTTCAAAAATCAAAAATCCGAGATAGCCAAAACGTTTGTTGGTTGATTGCGAGTTGAACCATATCAAGTTTTTACCATAGAAAACCAATAGTTTCTGAGTTATAAGCCGCCAAACATAGGGTTGCAGCGTGACCTCCAGGAACTGCCCGAGGCTATATCTCGGAAACCGTTGTTTGAAGAAAAAAATCCTTGCCACAGCTGGGTTCCCCGCCCATCACAACCCATTAGACCAATTTTAGGCAAAAAATAAAATATGCGGGTGTAAATTTTAATTTTTTTTGGGGCGATCTATCGTGGAATGCCCCAGACTTCCATATATTTAAGAATGCCTTCCCAGTTTTTCTTAATCCAAATCGAACGTGAATACTGGACAGATTACTGAAGAATTGCTAGACTGTCTTCACCTTTGAGCAACTGAACAAGATCCCAGCACCCCTGGTCACTCTGCAGTCTGGATTTTTCCTGCTTGGACTTCACCGTTTAACCTCAAGCCACTCAAGTTGCGGAGCGAACTCAAGAGTCCTAGACCCTTGATGAACTGAACGCTGCGTAAGTCGTCGAAGGCTTCGTCTGCACGATGGCCGGCGATCATTTGGGGCTCCATGCAGCGGGGGCTTACTTTATGTCATTCGCTAATGAATACCCTGCACTTGTGCACGTGACCAGGGCCCAATCTTACCAAATGCCGTGAATGCGCATTCACGGCATTTGGTAACATTCAGAACTATTTAACATTCATTTATTCTTTCGTTCAGGCAATATTCATAATCATGCACGTTATCAAAATCATTGGACAAAATTAGGTGGATGTAAATAAAAATGATACATTTGATATCAGTGCCGTAAACACCGGCCAGTGCTGCCAAATCCTCTTTACGGCATTGGTAAGATTGGGCCCTGGTCTCAGAGGTCCGTTAGGCGGCACGGTCAAGAGTCCTAGACCCTTGATGAACTGAACGCTGCGTAAGTCGTCGAAGGCTTCGTCTGCACGACGGCCGGCGATCATTTGGGGCTCCATGCAGCGGGGGCTTACTTTATGTCATTCGCTAATGAACACCCTGCACTTGTGCACGTGACCAGGGCCCAATCTTACCAAATGCCGTGAATGCGCATTCACGGCATTTGGTAACATTCAGAACTATTCAACATTCATTTATTCTTTCGATCAGGCAATATTCATAATCATGCACGTTATCAAAATCATTGGACAAAATTAGGTGGATGTAAATAAAAAGGATACATTTGATATCAGTGCCGTAAACACCGGCCAGTGCTGCCAAATCCTCTTCACGGCATTGGTAAGATGCCTGGTCTCAGAGGTGGCACATGTTGATCTGACGCTTTTGACTTGATTGTGAATCGCTGGGTGTTGTTTTTGTTTGCAAGGCTTTTAGCTTGATTATGGGCGAAACGGCGGCGGGGGTCTAGCACCCCTCCCCCCACTCTAGACCCCTCTCGGTATTCAGAAAGCCGATAGGTCCTACGAGGAACAACGGATACAACAACGAGACACATGCACTCTTCAAATATGTTTGTTCCGTGTGGATTTGATTTTTGAGAACGTTTCCTTGTCTTGTCTTAGGTCAGGGCCGGTCACCGCCCCAGGCGGGGTCGTGACCTCAGGCAGGGCGCGAGCAAGTCCGGGAGGGGTGGCGGGGCGGGCCCGGGTTGGTCGGACGGCCGTCATGCGCACCCTCAGTTGGTCATCCGCCGGAACGCCGCCGGTACGCTTTGCGCCATTGCCCCTCTGGATAATGTCCTATGTCATCTGTGCTATAAAATGAGAAAACTAAGCTAGGTGGAGAGCCTCGTCAGTTCTTAAAAGTAACCGTCGTTAGCACCACCGTTCCATCGTTTCCATCCTCAGCGTGGCCAAGTCCAATTCGTCCAGCCTCCACCCCCTGATCGGGGCTGGACGGGCAACTTTATCACAAGTGGGTAGTGGGTACCTCCACGCCAGGAGCAGGCCGTAGCCGGGTGCAGTGACCGTCAGGGGTGTGGGTGGCTAGGCGACCTCGTGATGGGTTCAGCCGTAACGGACCTCGAGGATGCCCACCCAGACCAATGTCTCTAATTTCAGACCCAGACCAGACCCTCTAATTCCTCAGTGGCGGATCCAGGGGGTGGGGCAAAATGGGCATTTGCCCCTCCCAAACGGCATTTTAACATTACGCCTATGGACGAGGCATGGAAAGAATCAATAAATTGTTATGGTTTGCCCCCCCCCCCCAAAAAAAAAACCTCTGAGCTGGATCCTCCACTGTAATTCCTAGCATCCATTCGGCTCTGAAATGATCTTGTTAGCCCAACAGAGCCTAACAAAAAAGTCTACGCAGCCCTTTCACTGTTCCGTCGTTTCTTAAATGAAGTGTTATTTCGTCTTTTTGACCAATTATTGAGCCTCTTGGCCCTCGCTTGTCAGGGTGACGCCATAACAGTTAATCAACGCGTGCCTTGAGCTGAATGAAGAAGCCGTCTGGTTTTTGTCATCACTTGCTAAGTCGGCATCGGCCGACATTTCTGTGTTTAAGCGCTCTAATTCTCTAAGCGCTTTGTCGCTTTGTCGATCGGCAGCTTTATCCAGTCCCGATCGGGCACCCGGTAGCCGAGTTACTTTCCGGGGAAGCGCCATCCACTGTCTATCTGGAGACAGGAAACTGGCCCGTGACATCATCTAAGTTACGGCTTCTATTAACAATTATTTGCCTCGCAGGGTAAGAGTAAAAGCAATTCAATTCAATTCAATTCAATGTATTAAGCATCGACAAGCGACAATGCATGCAGAGAACATCCCACAATACCCACAATCAACAAACAAGTAGTCTCAACAGACGCCTTGGGGCTTGGCAGTTTCCAGCTAACACTAGCCGTATGCTGTCAACAAGGCCATC